AAAAATCTTCCATGAATATTTCGTAGTATAACGAAAGTCTTCTATAAAATGTATGATATTATTTTCAAAAATACTTTTTTTTCAAATATGGAATGTTTTTCAATGAAAATTCATCTAGTAAAAATCTTTTTAGTTGTTTCTTTCTTGTCATTAGTTCTTGTTTTTCAATAATAAATAAAGAAAAAAAAAAATTCTAAAGGCTAAATTTTTCAGTTTATCTCAAGTAAGTCAACATACATACGATATATAAAAATAAGATAAAACAAAGGTGAACATTTAAAGATATATGCATTTCTATTTTAAAAATGACGTTGCTAATGAAAGAAATTAACCATATATATTTTCATTATGAACATATAAAAAGAAAAACTGTTTCAGTTTTTAACTGATGAATAATAAAATAAAAATAAAAATTTATGTTATGTTATGTTTATCTGTTTAATTTGTCAAAATATTAATGTTAATATTGTTATTTTTTCTTTGTTGCCATGTATTATTTACATACTTATCAATTTGACTTGTAGATGGTAATTTTTTCAAATTAGTTAATATATTTATGAAATATTCCATTTTAATTTCTTGCTTTTCTAATGTTTGTTCTACTTGTTGTTTTTCTTCTTCTAATAATATTCTAGCTTCTTGAATTTTATTAATCAATAAACGATTTTTAAGTGTAATAGAATGTGCAACAGCATGAATAGCTCGAATTATTTTCCATAAACGTAAAATAACGACAGCTGCAGCAGCTCGTCCAGCTCTTCCAATATTTCCATAATGAAAATATATTTCCATAATAAAAGAAGCAAATACAATTGCACTATCAAGTAAATATAATGGATTCATATAATATTTCCAACCAAAAGCGTAAAAAGATATAAAAATTTCCAATACAAATATAGTAAGTAATAAAACAGAAAAATAAAAAAGAAATAAATCAGCGTGAACCAAATGAAGAGAAAAGTCAAGTAAACATGTGTCACGTTGTTCAGTTGTATTATAAAATATCATTTCTTCATTAGTTAAACAAGGTGATGATAATTGAGCTAAAGTAATTAAAATATTCTAAAGATAATATTTTTTCTTATTTAATTTAATTGAAAATTTTTATTCTCAATTAAAAGAATTTTTTTTTTTTTTTAAAACAAAATCAACATACCAAGAATTAAATCTACTAAGACAACAATTAAATCTGTGATAACTAATAAAATAATAACATAATGAAATGTTGATTTTTGAAGAAAATTTGCTAAATATCGTCGAAATAATTTCAATGAATTTATTCTTAAGGTTTGTTCATTTTCATGAATTTCTTGTTCTTCAATAGAAAACTTTTTAAGTTCATCAATAATATTACTTAATTTTACTTCTCCCATTGACTTTCGAGGTAAAATACGACGATTAGCGGCTTTTACTTTACTCCAATTACTTGTTTTCATATCAATTAATACAGATTTATTTTCGCATGATTGACCTTTTTCAGTTAGATTTCTTGCAGATTCATCAGATAATCCAGGAATAATAATAACATCGGATTCTTCCACTTCCATAATAATATTAATAATCCTAAAAATATTAGAATCTGCAATTTATTTTACAATAAAATTATTTGAAATATTTTTAAAAATATTAATCATAGACACTATAACAGATATACACGGGGCGTTCAAAAAGTTTCCGGACTGATTTTATTAAAAAACAACAATAAGTGCTGTTGCGTTAGTATTCTTACCTATGGGTAGTTCATGCATTCATGTATCTATAGACATGAGAAGCTCTGTTGTACGAAGCATATATATGAAAAA